GACACCAGTACCACCCTCGCCCGGGTCAGTTCTAATAGTAGCAACCACCTTACCATCTCAGACAGGGACAAACCTTTCCACTACAGTAGCAACCCCCCCGGTAGCATCGATAGTTCTAGCAGTCGGGTGGCCCTTCATTGATCCCAACATAGGGAAATCCGATGACTGAGTTGATGGACATAATGACCACTCTCGTCGACACCACAACCCAGAAGTTCAGCAAGGTGGATCAATTCATGGAGCTGGCTGCAAAGAAGTTCATGGAACTTGAAGTTGGCCAGAGGAACCAACTAGCTGTTTTGCAGCACATATAGACCCAGGTCAGGAGCGTGGCTCGATCCGTGGTGCACACCAAACACCTTACCTGCAAACACCACACCAAATCTAGAACCCGCAGGGCCACTGCAAGGCCCACACGCACTAAGCTATACAGTTGGATGCAGCAATGAACTCTGCATCAGTGGTAGATAGAGTGATTTTTGGTTGCTTTTTGGAGCCCAGGACATAACACCTCCTGCTAGAAAGAAAATATAGCCACTAGTGCTTCTTCTATCATCGAGATCACTATCATAATCATTGTCTGTGTAGCCAAGAAAACAGCCTTCTTCAGTTCTTCTTCAATACAAAATTCCATGACTCATTGTGACCTTCAGATATCTCAAGATCCTCTTACATGCCAGCATGTGTTGTCTGGTTGGTGCTTCCATGTACCTACTCAGCAAACACACTACAAACATAAGATATGTTCTGGTTGCACTGATGCAGAACAAGCTTCCAACAAGTTTCTTGCGTTCAGTAGCATCTACAGGACATCCATCTCCGACATTTGTTAACTTTGCACTAGGGACAATCGAGTTGTGACTGAAATTGCAATCCAATAACTTAAGTCTTTCCGAAATCTCCCTTGCATACATCTGCTGATGGATGAAAATCCTAGTGTCACTTTGAATCACCTCCACTTCCAGGAAGTACCTCATCTTCCCCAAGTCAGTCATTTCAAACTCAACCTCCATTGATTGCTTAAACTCTTTGATCATCTCATCACTGGTACTGATGTACATGAGATCATCTACATATAAGCTCACAATCAATAGAACAGTTCCAGCCCTTTTGATGAACAATGTTGCTTTAATTTGACATCTCTCAAACCCTTGACTTCAAAAATATGTCTCAATCCTGTTGTACTGGGCCTGGGGAGCCTACTTCAAACCATACAAAGCCATCTTCAATTTGTAGAATTTATTCTCCTCCCCGAAAACCACAAACCCTTGTAGTTGCTGAACATAAACATCTTCCGTGAGTTCACCATTTACAAAAGAACTTTTCACATCAAGCTGCCAATTTGTCAAACCATGGTGAGCAGCAAAAGCAATGAGTGTTCTAATGGCGTCCCACCTAGCTACTAGAGCAAAGACTTCAGTGAAGTCAATTCCATGTTTTTGTTCATAGCCTTTAACCATCACCATTGCCTTGTGTTAATCAAAACTCCCAGTTTCCATTATGAAATGTTCAACAAACGGTCGACATCTTCCACTAAAAGGTTGACCACTTTACAAGAAAACGGTCTACCACTTCCACCAAGCGGTCCACCGCTTTCAACAACCGGTAAACAACCACTATTAGTGATTGCATAATATATAATTAGAGTCCGATAATAATAGATATGTTTGCTAGTAGGCTTAATATCATTTTGTACCCTTTTATTATGGTAAATTAACAAATGTACCCTTTTACTAAATTTTTGTACAAACATATCCTTCTAGTATTAAAACGTCACAAATTTACTCTTCCGTCTAATTTATGTTAAGTGACCGTTAAATGAGCTGGAAAATGACCCAATTGCCCATCATTTACTCCTAATTTTGTTTTATGTTCCAAATCAATTAATTAAAAAAATGAAACCCTAAATAATTCAGAAGCACTCATACTAGAGACTGTCGGACTCCCATGAACTCTCCCTCGACGATCAGAAGCTCGACTTGGCGGCGGCACCTGCTTCGGCATCTTCGTGTTTGTCTGGTAGATCAAATTTGATCTACATCTAGTCTGGCGGATCAAGATAATCGCTGAGGTGAGGACACGAATTTGTGGTCCTTGTCTTGAGGGGAGAATTGTTATGGGACAATCCAAGTACCACATCGGTAATACAAGGGAAGAGACCCTTGTATATTAGTGTCCACCTAGCCCAATTAGTATGAGGCCTTTTGGGAAGGAACCTAAGAGTAAAACCGTGCGGGCTTGACCCAAAGCGGAGAATATTGTACTAATTGAGCTTCCCGATTTTGACACCTACTATCATGTAATCAACCATTGTACACTCTGGTATGATTTTGTGTAGTACCAACAATTACCACATTGGTATAGACTGGTATTAAATGTCTTAATGTTTTTGTTCCAAAAATATATCAAAGTGGATATCATTTTGAAGAGCACAATTGATATTATATATTTGTGTAAAAAAATTCAAATTATGACTTAAAACGAAGAGATATAATCCGTTAAAATTTATAGGAGAAATGATTAGAGACCTTCCATAAATTGTGATGTGGCAGTAATTTGAGAGGTTATATATGGTTATTGACCATAGAGATTGACGTGAACTGCTCTCACGGTACCAACCAGACAAGATAGCTCTCACAATATTGTTTAATGGATGTGGTTTTTTTTTTCTTTTGGTAAAATGTCAGTTTGCTTTTCAAGTTGGGTATGAGTTGTCTAAGGATTTGGGTGATTGTTCTAGGTTCTTAGTCAGAATTGGATGTACTTTTATCGGATCAAATTAGAAAAATGTTTGGATGAAAAAAGAAGAGGGTTACTATTTGCCGCCCATCTCTTTACTATTTGCCGCCCGTAAATTAAACTAAAATGATATTTTTATCCTTTGTTCATTTTTTATAAAACAAACCTCATTCCACCATAACACGAGCGACCACCACTGCGGCCGACAATAGACCATCGCCGGCCTCGCCACTCCTGCTGCCGCCGGCGCCAGTCCACCACCGCCGCCAAATCGCCGGCGTCGCCACCACCACCAGATCACCACCGCGCCCAGAACCAAATCATCACAGCCGGCGGCGGGCCCCGTCCAACGCCGGCGGGAGGACCCGTCCGACGCCGACGAGAGGACCCCGTCCGACGCCGGTGAGCGGACCGTGCATTAGCGACGTTTTCAAAACCGTCACAAAATTCGTCGCTAAATGATAATAATTATTTAACTCAATCTTCTATTTTTTTAATATTATATCATGTTAATAATTATATGTATGTTTATTAATTATATTTATGAATTAGAAAAACTAAAAATTATTCATAAGAAAAAAAATTAAATTATAAAAAATATTGTACAAACTAATTCATACTTATTTTATAATTATGTAAATAGAGCTAAAATAAATAAATAATTCATTTTAATTATGTAGAATAGTTATAAAATATTTATAAATTTTGATTAAACCTTTTTAATTGTATTTATTTCATATTTAATAAGATCATCGTACCTAAATTATGTTTTATAAAACTTCCAAGGAATCGAGGCACGAAGAGGACTCTTTGCGGCTCGGGGAAGGTCGGGCAAAAACATCTTTTAGCAATTACTAGAGTCACCGACATGAAAAAATATTGAAACTTTCATCGATCTCTTAAAATGTGGATACAAATGTGTTGGAATCGATTGTTTATCAATCGGACATTCCCGACAAAAAGAGATGAATAGTGCCAAAACTTTCATCGAGGTGGTTTTAGGGTTCTGAGGGTGGTAACTAGGAGTTTTTTGAGCCTATCACGTATATTTCCACAAGACGAAATATTATTGTTAGTGGAGGAAGAGATGATTTCGCCTCTAAAATAATTTCCTAGTAGGATTGGATGGATCGAGGTTGAAGGTAGCTATTCAAGGGGAATGAGGGTTTAGGGTTTCAGAGGAGTATAAGGTATAAGAGGTGGATGAGATGCTTTCCTTCTTTATTGTCATTATTGGTCCAGTTGAGTCGAGTTGATTCTTATTGTTGTTATCCGTCATCTTGGGTGAGATTATTTCAACTGTGGTCAAACCCTAATTAAGTCAAACAACTGTGGTCAAAATAATATATAATTTAGTCAAACACTAATTCGGGTCAAACCCTAATTAAGTCAAACCCTAATTCCCTCAACCAACTATGGTCAAATAATATATAATTTAGTCAAACCCTAATTCGGGTCAAACCCTAATTAAGTCAAACCCTAATTCCCTCAACCAACTGTGGTCAAATTAACAATTATATACTAATTATTCAACTATCAATATTAAACTAATTAAGATACTAACAATTGTATTTAAAATAAATCAAATAAATATCTATTTAAACCGAACCATTCAAACCGAATCATAAACCCAATTAGATCGGCCCGACCAGACCGGGCGGACGGGGTCCGCTCCGGCCAGTCGGACCGCGTCCGCTCCGGCTAGTCGGACTGCGTCCGCTCCGGCCAGTCGGACGGCGACTGAAAAAAAAATCTCTTCGCCGAGCTTGGGAGGTTGGAGGCGGCGAGAGCGAGCGAGGAGGACTCGATTTGCGGCGGCGGCGCTGCTGTGGCGTCCTCTTTGGCGGCAGCTTCTAGGCTCGGCGGCAACTTTTAGGCTCGGCAGGAGGGAGGAGTCGGCGGCGGGAGGTCCGACAGGAGGAGGGTCGTCGGCGGCGGGAGGACAGCAGGAGGAAGGAGGGTTGAAGGGGGGTGGCGGCAGATGGGTTGAGGGTGGGATAGGGTTAGGGGCAAAATCGTATTTTTTTTCCAACTATGGGCGGCAAATAGTAAAACTGCGGGCGGCAAATAGTGATTCAGAAAAAGAAGGAGCATACCATTTTCTACGAAAATTTCAAAACCTTGCTACCCGTTAGGGGAAAAAATTGTATGTCCCCTATGTGTAAAATCCAAATTTATGTGACCATTTTGGATAACTATTATCCATTTTATTTAACACTAACAAAAACATGCATCATCCATGCTTAAAGAGCACGTATTAAATGAACAATACGTTTTCTTATCTAAACTATTCTGCAAATTTTCACTCCAATAGAGCTGGAGGACAAGAGCATGGATCATCATCCGTCCTTGTGGGAGGCGACCCAAGGTCCAGTCGCCCGACTCGTCCCTGTGCTGCTCTTTTGCCCTCAAGGATTGAACCCCGAGACTACTTCGAACAGAGCTTAAACAACCTGATTGAGGAGATCACTCAGGACAACCGTCAAGGGCCTCCTCCGGCTCCCGAATCTGCCAGAGACAATCCCAAGAGTGGAGATGGAAACAGCTCACTTGGCTCGTAACGAATACGATTCGTGTCTAGTGTGCAAGGAGATTTTATGGTGGGAGGTGAAGCCAGGGAGCTGCCGTGCAAACACATCTACCATGAGGACTGCATTGTCCCGTGCCTGAGGTTGCATAATTCCTGCCCGGTTGCATAATTCCTTGGCAGTGAAAGTGGGGAGTGTGAAGAAAGCAACAGCAATCGGAGTGGCAGGGGAGGGAGGGAGGTGGTTGTGGTTAAGAAGGCCGTTTGCGGGTTCGTGGCCGTTTCGTGCTCGATATGCTCGAGCTGTGCGTGTGCCTCATGGTAGTGCTAAACGCAGAGATTTTCATTATCAATCTAATGCTGCTGATGATTCCTGGAGAGAGGTCAGAATTGATTGCTATATCTTCTTGCTGTTATGCGTGGAAACCAAAGTGCATACACACTATACCGTGCTTTTAGTTGTTTTATCTGAAGATTGTATGCTTCAAATGACGTCTTTCGAATTCTACTCGTATGAGGATTGTACTATTCATGTATGCTTAATCGAATTTGGGCACTGCACTGAAAATCCATTTTTGCTTTCCCCCTCAGGATGGAGCCGCTGCAACATTCTGTGAGCTTTTCTTTTCGAAACTGCACGATACCAATCTGAAACAACCACATATGATACCAGTCTGATACTAGCACCCCTAAATACCAATCGTATTTGTAAAAGAAAACAGTCAAACACCTTGCCGACCGATCAGCAGCAAACTGTGGATTCACTACTGTCGCAACTGGACGACTCATCCAACATTCCTTGTCATTCTAACAAAGCCAAAAGAGAGTAAACCATAACATGAAATTTTGAATGAACCATACATGAACCCCATGACACTAAATGGCAACAGGAATGGTATAAAAGACTGGGAAAATAGCGACTAACTGTCATGTCCTGATGTTAAGGTTGTTGAACAACCCACATATATTGTTCCCCAGCTTTTGATCCTAATTTCTGCAGAAAACAGGCATATTCATAGACGCTTTGGTTGACAATTACTACCAGCGTAGAAACCTTGTGTATAGGCTGTGTTCTTAAACATTACCTGCAATAAGGAACAAAAGGTACGGTTGAGAAATACATGCAACATGGCTAACCCGCACTGTTGAAAAATCTATTGCTACTGCCTACTGGCTTAGCATCTCTCATACAATCTGTTCATTATTAGCCAAAGTTAACTCACTGTGAGATTTTGCAAATCAGGAGCCAGATGCTTTCTGACACTTTTGGCTAAAGCTTCTTGCTTCGCAACATCTTCTGTGAGCTACAGATATAAAAAATTCCCATTTTAGTTGCAAAGGAAGAAGGCAAACAATGACCTTGAGCACATGAGAGAAAGTGGAGCAAAAAATAGATACCGTGCTTATCTCAGAAAGCAGCAATTCTGTCGTCTTCTTGAGAATCTCGTCCACAAATAGTCTGGACTCTACAAAAGCATTTGGTTGGGGCGCTGCATTGTTTGGCTTGTCTTTCGCATTTGGATCAGCACTGCTTGGCTTAGCAGATTTCACTGAATCAAAGGAAGTGAGCAACATATTAAGTCAATGTCACTCATCACTTCAAATGGCCTGTTATGCGTAAAATTAACGACTGGACTAGGTAGGATTGAGGTATTTTCTGCAGTAAAGTGAACCATCATATTAGCATTGAAGTCCTTTCTGCCATAAACATCATAGTACTCATGGCATATTTAAGTTGTGGTTGACTTAGATGAAGTCTTCTCTGCAGAAAGTCAGCCATCAAAGTATAGGTACTAGACACTCTGGAGAACTCCATTTTTTCAACCAACTAATCGTTTCACAATCATTCACTTATTTTAATAATGTTCACACTTCCTTTTCTACTATTTGCTCCAGGTGACCCTTCTCCAGATCTTTTGAGTCCAAGAGAGATTGGTTTTCACTTAAACTACAGGTTTCCGTACCAACGGAAAAACCTAAACTGGTTGAGGTTCAACCTTAAATAAGGCTTGACAACAACATGTAAAAGACGTGCAACCTTAAAATCCTATTAAAATAGGTGTTGAGATATATGGATAATATATCCACCCAAATTCAAACTATCTTCAATGAACCAAACTATAGTTTGCATGATATGTGTGTAACTAACAGATCTATAAGCATGTACCTGAGGCGGGTGTGCACTTCTTTTGAACAGGAATAGACTTCTCACTCACAGCTTGTGAAGACGTACTGTTTTCAGGAGCATCTGGTATATCAATGGTACCAGATGGTACGAGAATAGCTAGATCTGGAGGTTGATCTTTCCCTACTGGTGGGTTAGCCTGAAATAAAAACAGCAATACATAATTTGGAAGACTGAAATCCACTGATGAAAATTAAAAAAGAGTTATTTCACATCACCTCAAGGTCAACATATGAGGGCTCTCTCCCAATTGATTTAAGAAACTTATCTAGGTCACTAGCTTGGACGGCTGCCAAAAAAAAAAAAAACGTGCGCTAGTTAGACAAATCTTAGATTGTAAACCACATGCATCAATATTAAACATTGGAGGGGAACTATGAAAAACCGAAGGCTCCAAATGAACAAATTCCATTTAACCATTTTTCAAAACTTACAGATTGATGTTTCATTAGATAGCGGATGGAAGAAGCAATGTGGCTGGGTTTTGAATTCCTTGTCCAACAAGAGTGAAACGTACCTTCAAAACATATATGCCATACATCAGAAACCAAAGGAGCATCACTTAACAATTGTTTAAAGTTTAGTTTTAAGATCATAGTATCTGATATTGCCTGGGTGCAATGGTAAAAGGTCCGATATGCTAGCCATTCACACACAATGACACAAATAGATTGATTCTTCCTAGCAATTCAAAAGCAAGTACTAGTTTTAGCCGCTGCATAGCATCCAGGAATTCTAAACAATGACTTTAGTTCTTAATACATCTCACATCCTTGGTAAATGATATTAAAATTAACACCATCAAAATTATAAATTTTATAGATCATATATGATATTAATCATAATCTTTTATCCTTGATCTTATCATTGAGTACAGCTATCATCTCGAAATTCAAAATGAAACTGATGATAAGAAGAAGAAAAAAAACTAATGATAAGAGGTTACATAATTATTTTAATTTAAATGATTTCATCAGCTAAAATACTTCCACTCACAACCATTTGTTTATTTATATAAAAAGAAAGTGTTTCTTGCTTTCTATACTTCGCCACTCTCATTAACAAAGTACCATAACTAAAAGATACACAAGAAAAATGTTTAATTGATCAAACGGGAATACTCTTTCTACCGTTTGTTTTATCTCTCACACTTGTATGGCGTACTTATATCAAATAAAATAACATAACTGTGCTTCAGTGGCCAAAGTTCTACCTGTTTCCTGGACCTTTGAAATATAAAGACGAATTTGAGTGTCGAAACACCAGTTAAATGAAAAGCTAAGTCCAGGGTTCAAGGCTTCAAGCACATCATATAACTAGATCAAGGATAAGGTTATACCTTGCTGACTCATTGATGAGTGCAAATGGAGTGACACAGCCTAAAGGAACCTGTACAAATAGTCATGGGGGAAAAGTTAAGACCACAGGACCACAAATTCCGGCCATTTAGCAGTTTTCAACTTCAACTCTGTGCAGGACTCGTTTGTATCAATAACTTAAAACGAATATCCCATCAGCACTTGGGCCTACTACAGTTAGGAAAAAAATGGAATGATTTCACTAGCTGTTAATTAAATTCCATTAATGAAAGAACACATTCTGCAACCAAATACTCTTGTGGATCTCAGAGGGTACGATAATTAATTAAGAACGCAACCAACATAGATACCATTTCAGGGCCCATTATGAGTTTGATAGTTAAATTTATATCCAAAATCTTGCTTTGAAGTGTTCAAAAGAGTATTGGCATGTCGGGACCAAAAGCAAGTCCCAATTGATTTGAAGATATCACCTGAGTATGCTAATTATAGCAGATAAATTAAGTATTTTGAAATTTAAGCTAACAGAAGGACTCAACGCATAGGTACATAATATTTTTGGGGGGCTTTCTCAAGAAGAGACACAAGGCACGTAAAAGCAAGAGGCATTGCATTGCAGAAAGCGTGTACCTGTAGTAGCTGTCCTAATGCTTCTTCAGGAGCCATTCTTATGCCTCCCTTCCCCAAACCAAGCCGCTGGGACAAAACTGCACGGCTTCAAGAGTATAATCTGATTAACAATCATTTCCTTAACATGAATGAGTAAGATAACTTCTCTCGGTGCAAATTGTCACAAAGTTCACCTTTCAGATCTACTTTAGTATCTGCAAGAGCTGAAACAATGTAGAACCTACTTTTCTTGTCCTGTTACAAAAACCCATCTTCATTTTGCAGCCGTGACTCAAACAAGGGTATTGCTAAGGAAATCAACATAAGACATCTTAACAATCCTTTTTGATTACCTTCAAGAATAAATTTTTGCTAAGTCCGCCTCCTTTGTCCCCCACATATTTTGCCTGTGCACGAATGTGTAGTATTGAATCAAAATATTGGTCCATGCCGCACTCAAATTTGATAATCTTTCCTTTCGAAAAAAATGTCTTACCTGAGCTTCTACAGTTAGAACAGCAGGATGGTCATACTGCTCAAATTTGATACCAAGCTCCTGAAGCACCATCACAGGGCAAAGGCCGACAGGAAAGCAGGAAAGTGGAAAAAATCTCAGCCATACTTTTTACTAAATAAAACAAGGTGATATAAACAACGACACACGCAAAGTTGGTCCAGCAAACAAAATCCCCCCATTTGGATGAAGATCCAATAATAGAATGGGTCATAGCTTTAACAAGGATTCAGATGTTCAAAATAGATCAGTTGTTTCAAGTCATTTGGGAGATCACACTGAGCAAGAATAACTACTAACGGTAGATAAAAATGTGAGGAAAGTGAAACTGCTACATGGGCGTGTAGAAGGAAGAAAGGCTAAATCAAGTTTCGCTATGAGCAGAGAATTGACTGAAAGACACGCAGATCACTGCGGATTAATTGTGGGGACAGTTGTGAAGAAAAACAAAGCAACAACTGATCGAACCTTCAAGCGTGCAAGCAATTGCTCCTTTGTAAAACCCATATTCTGGAATGCAAGAGTTCAAGAGAATTTCAACAGAAAACCGAGCCTTGCCAAACCCGTGCACTGCTGCACAACAAAAAGGTAGTACACAGATTACAGAGAAATTCAGCAACCTAATCAGCCATCAATTGTCAATAAATTATTGCATCCCAAAATTGCTCTAGATTCACTACCAACTATCAGAAAAGTAAAGAACTACATCATCCACCTCAAACATATCAGGCCATAAAGAGTAATAGCATTACCCAGAGAATGAACGTAACAAATAATAAAAGATCCAAATCAGTAGCCTCCCAAGTCCCAAAGAACTTACGAAGCAACCAGCCGACAGCAAAGCTAGAAACTTTGCATTGATTAACAAAGGTTTGACACTAGCTTAAATGGCTACGTCTCAGCCAGATATGATTTAATACTCAAATTGACAAAGCAATAGGAAAAATTCCAGACTTCTAATTCGAAATCCTAACTTATGATTTCTCTTTGTTCCCCCCTTCCCTTTCCTCTTACCCTACTAAGTGCTAACAAACTATTATACACATCAGGAGAAAAGAGGAAGCAAAGTTCAGTGACAAAACCTTGGCAACGCAGAAGCAGAATATCAGAGACAAATCAAAGGGCGAGGAAGACACTCGCAAGCAGATGGCGTCTAGCTGGTGGTGGCGGCGCCTTCTTCTGTTCCGCTGTCGAAGAAGGAGAGAGAGCGGCGTTTATGCTCTGCCCGGCTGGGAAACTGAAAAATTATAGCGAGACGAGACAAGGAACCGATAGGGCTGAGGCGAGACTTCTGCTTGCTTCAGTTTGAGGAGGTCAGGAGTTAGGATGTGTAAATATGAGGACTTCATTGTTAATTTTCCTACTCTGGGTACCCATTGTAAATTAGCCAAACAGCACCAACTAGTATATTGGTGATTTTTGAAATGTTTGTTGTTTTTTATGAAATTTTTTCACTTTGTAGCATTTCAAAAATGAACCGGCTGGTTGACCAGATTTTTTTTTTTTTTATATAATAGTTGGCCGAAGGCTTTAGTTTGATTACAAAGTGAAATTTTTTTATCCATTTTTTAAATGAGCTTGAACCGACTGTTTTTTTCTCGGTAAGGATTATCAATCAACACTATAATTTATAGCTGAAAAGTAAAACTGCACCCCCATTCAAAATTTCCTGTCCATAGAGTGATTTTAGGAAGCTGATGTGACAGAGTGTTAAGCGGGGAAAAAAAAGAGTCCCGCCTGATTTCATAACCAAAAAACTCTCCACTACCCACTTTTTTCTCTTTCCAGGCCCACGTTCTCATTTAATTTGTATTTTTTATTTCCGATTTCCCTTCCTTCCACTCTTTCACCTCATTCGAATAAGTTTCTTGGCCTTCAGAAAACCAAACATTGACTCAATCATCTGGTTCTTTTATGTGCTTGCATCTACCTTTGATTTCCGTTCTCTAAGCGTTAGATCGGTATTGGTTTTGCCGTAAGTTATTCTTCCTCTTTCAGATTTCTGTTTGTTGTTGTCGCTGCTTTTAAGTTTTAGGGATTCGGATTCTGGGTTTTTTTTTTCCAGGGATTCGGTTGCAAAGATTCATCTCCCTTACCTTTGGTTCATTCCGTTTTCTTTATTCTCTCTTACCTTCCTCGCTTTATTCTGTTGATTGGATTCTCTAGAGATCAAAAGGGGATTTTTTATTTTTCCCTTTCTCTTGAAAGTAACAAAGTTGCTTACTTTAAATTCCACTTCGCTTAGACTGTCTTCCAGAGAGCAGCCGACTGCCGATTTTGAGCTGAGTTTTTCCGGGCCGCAGAGAAAGAAGAGGAAAGAAAGAGACGTTCGGCGGCGGCAGCAGGTACTTCGTCCGGGTCGTTTTCCGGGTCAGTAAACCGAAGGGCCGGCTATAAACTACCGCTGGCCTAGCGGGGGAAAAGGAAAGCGTAAACCATAAGGCCTCGGGGATCCATTTCTCTCGCCAGCCCATACTTCAGAGGCCCAGCCTACTTGAGTCCAGAACCAGCCCATCGCCGACGAAATTTGGCGCGCCGTCCCCCACCCGCCACCACGTATGAGACATAATCAATTTACTTTCTGATGTTAACTCTGTTGCAGGTAAATGTCGAAATCCAACTTGATCAGTAAGGTTTTCTCTCATATGTTTCTAGGTTAATTAATCTAATGGGACTGGCTATGATCTGATAATGTACTTTCAGCTCTAATCACTAAAGAAGTATAAAGTAGGCGGTATTGATAAGCATGCTCCACTGGTTAGTGTATTGGTTCTACCAGGCTTTTTTCCCGTAATTACATAAGATCATTGGACAGTTTTATCTCACTCCATTAGTTTGTTTTATTGTTCTTCAACTTCATTTGCATTGTATTTGTATTGTGACATTAGAGTTGGAATCCATTTGTGCTAAAAGTACAAAGCGTAAACTGCATAATTGAAAGAAGGGATAAGCTTGGTATAGTTAGAAGAACTAGAATTGGTAAGCACTTATAGTGCTTTTCTTATTGCCAGCTTGCTTCTTTTTCAAACTTCTCTTTGGATATGGTTTTTATGGATGCCTTTGAATTATATTTGTGTTGGCCATTACATTGTTGTCCTTCTCGCTCTTCCTTTGCATCCCCAAGCTTGGAAGCCATTCTGTTATATGTGTTTTGTTCATCAATTTAAATTATGCCTTATATAGTTATATTTTTCTTCGACTGTTATGTTTGTGTGGTGTGTTGTATGTGTCATTAACTCGCACAAACTTATAATTGGTGAGGAGTTCAACTTCTGTTGTAACAATTAATTAATTTATATGAATGGCAGCTGCAAAATTTACTGGAACGGGTGCATCATTTACCACGACCTCTATTTCAGATTGCATCAGGTTATTGGAGAATTTAATATGGATAGTGCAAATGTCATCCCATCTGCCCAACCACAGATTTATCGATCGTCTGTACCATGTGAGTGTCATGGTTTAGCACGCAACTGCTTCAATGCAAACTAACATTAATATTTTCCCTTGAATCTCATTTGTTTAGGGAAACGTCGAGCAGTGTTTATTCATCCTGAAGATCAGTACCAACGCTGTGTTTTATCTGCTGAAGAGGAAGAAGCATTTGAGAGAGGTGTGTTATCTGTGTTTTAATTTTTCTAATTAGTTCATCTATTCAATGAGTAATACATGGTTTTATATTTAAATTCTGCAGAAGAAGCTGCCTTACAATTCCAACTCTCTCAACTTCGGCGAATACTATCCCAAGTCGCCCGTAAGAGAAGACATCATATTTTGAAACAGAAGGTTCATAGGAGGGGCTTGCCTTTTGAACACCAAGGTTGTTGTTTGCTAAATTTTGTAGCAAGTCTTACAAATTAGGCTATTCTAGATTGTTGAATCTTTATTTATTTCTTTAATATCGTATGTGTTTTGGTGTTGTTCATAGTTTTGGAGTCGGAGTTTAGATTTCTATTACAAAAGCAAAGTCGATTACTTCGACGTATTCATCTGCATAGAAAGAGACGTGGCCGAAGTTTCTTTCCTACAGAAGTCAATCAAAGTATGTGGATTCTAATGGCCACTATTATACATGAAATGGTTCATCTCTATTTTGGTTTAGTTTTTGTACATTGGATATATGTTTTTGTGTTCTGGTCAACATATTTTGTTTCCTATTTTGGTTTTAGAACATATAATGTACCCATTTATGCCATGCATATAATTTAGTGATGTACGCTTCATGTCACCTTATGCAAATAGTGGATTGTTTTTAGATGTTGATGTGTCAACGGCAAATTTGTGTGTTATGAACAAACTTTGGTGTTTCCTGAAATTTGACTTATTCTTACTTAAAATGAGCGGTATACCAATCTATCTTGCCTTGAGAACATTTATTTTAATAATTGTGTTTACTGTAGCGCGCCTAAATCGGCTTCACAGTTTCTCAATCTCATTCAATTTATGAATTACTGTGACAAAAATTTATTAATATTACTTATCTATTTCACTAGGTCTTCCGTTGGTTGAATTTTTTGATATTGGTCCACCTTCATGTACGTGTCAACATTGTGGAGCAGTTATGTGGCGGTTCGAGAGTACTTTATCTAAACGGAATGATGTGTTGCCTGCATTTCCTTTATGTTGCAAACATGGTAAAGTGAAATTGCCTCCCCGCAGAGATGTGCCCGAATTTCTTAAAACTCTACTTGAAGGGGATACACCATTAGCGCGTCACTTTCGTACTAACATCATAGCCTATAATGGGGTTTTTTGCTTTATTTCTCTCGGAGGTAAAGTCAATAACTCTATTAATGATGGTCGTGGAGTTTATGTATATTCAATCGGTGGTCAGATTTATCATCGAATAAGATGTTTGGTTCCTGGTGATGGGGATAGTCCGAAATTTGCACAGCTTTACATTCACGATTTAGATAACGAGGTGCAGAATCGTATGGACTTTTACTCCACTGATCATGCCAAGAATCCGTTGCGCCAGTGTATTGTTGAAGGCCTCCAGCATATGTTTGATGACAATAATATCCTGGTACGTACATTTCGTTCTGCTCGAGATAGGATACAAAACTCTGGTGTCCAGGAGCTTCAACTGAAACTATTGGCTAAGCGTGAAATTAATAGTAGAGAATATGATTTGCCCTCTGCGAATGAGATTGCAGCATTGATTGTAGATGAAACAGGAGAGCAATCATTTTCTCCAGATATAATTGTTCAACAGAAGGGTTCAGAAATGGAAAGGATTAGCGTATACCATCCAAGTCTGATGGCATTACAATATCCAATTTTATTCCCCTATGGCGAGGATGGTGGCATCCCTGCATTAGCTATAGTCACAGTAGCTCTAATATCAGTGTTGGAGATAAAATGATAACCCAGTGTGATTTCTATGCATATCGTCTTCAAACCCGTCTCCAGGAGTCGAATTATCTGTTATTATCTGGTAAATTGTTTCAACAATATATGGTGAATGCATTTGCGTTAATTGAGGCTGAACGCTTAGACTGGATGCG